TTAATATTTTTATTTCCATTCTATTTTTATTTGTAATATTTAAATTAAATATTTTGCTATAAAATGGCATTTTTTAAATTTTATTTTTATTATTTTTTTTTATTATTATATTTAATATTTTATAAGTTAGTCAATGTGTATTATATTTATTAAATATATCTTTATAGAGACAATAATTAATGGGTACACACACACACACACACAAAAAACACAAAAAATAAATATATATATATATATATATATATATATATATATATATATATATATATATATATATATATATATATATATATATATATATATATATACCATTCATACATATATTGCAGATTTTTCATTCAGTTTGTCTGAAACTTATCAAAGAATGCCTAATTCTTCAACAATAGTACCTTTTGCTGCAGCAGAAAATTCAGGTACGTATCCATTGTTCGCAGTGGTAATATTATACTTATATATGTTATAGAAACAGATGACCCTAAAAAAAAAGGTGTTTATATGTTATGATTTAATGTTGATTAGCAATTAGATTCTTTAGCAGTAAGCATTTATAGGAGTATGCAAAACTATTTTGAGAGGGTTAGAACAAATTAAAGAAACACAAAAATTTCACTCTAAGATGATTCAGAATTTATTGCAACGGTTTAACATAGAAAGAGACATAGCATCAGTGGAGCTACCAGAAGGTTTAACATTTCCTGTAACAACAATGGAAGAACTGGATAAGGCTCTTGAAATATTAGCTAATGTTACTACTCAAAGGATTTTGGTAATTGTTTACTCAGACCTATTTTGTATAAATTTTCATATACTTTATCAAAATTATGTACTTTATTATTTAGTAATAATAAATTTTCATTTAGTTTAATTTTGCAATATTCAATCTTATTATAGGTTCATATTCTTTTTGAAAATGGTCCAAGATATTTCAGAATTTGTTAATCAAAATATGACTTATCTTATTGGAAATGTATTGGCCAGACAGCTAAATTTGACCGGCCAAAAAAATAAGCGTGGGTTTATTAAAACCATTTTGTACAACATTCTTTATAGTATGCTAGAATTTAGTATTTTTGAATTAACATATTTTATTTTACATTTGAATTTACATATTTTATTTTAATTCAAATAAAAATTTGAAAATATTTTTTTACAACAGCTTCCATAAAAATGAATACATCTACAAAAGAGTGTACAAAAAAACAGCTTGAGGAGGCTCTTTCAAAATGGTTTGGTAATGCTCGTGACAGAGGTATAGGTCGAAGACGGCGCTTAGATGTCGTTAATCATTTGGAAGAAAGTTTTTAAATAATTCTTAATCCTATCTTAAACGAATATGTTATATTTTATAGTAGTTTTTTTATTAAATGTTTTAGTTATTGTATAAAAAAAGAGTTTCTTTTTTCAGTGTTGTTTTTAAGTTTCTGAATTTTTTTTATCATATATACATACATATAAAACCTATGGTTTTCAAAAAAGTTATAAAAAGTTTTTTGATAATAATTCTTTAATTATTTTTTCAAATAAGAAGTTATTTTTTTGAAATTTTTATTTAATTTTGCTTATTTATAAGTTCCAGGTTGAAATTTTTTTTTCAATGATATTAGGGACTCACTCAATTTTATATATACTTATATATATATATATATGTATACTTATATATATATATATGTATATATATATATATATATATATATATATATATATATATATATATATATATATATATATATATATATATATATATATATATATATATATATATATATATATATATATATATATATATATATATATATATATATATATATATATATATATATATATATATATATTGCTGTTAAATTTGTTATAATAAGTTATAGTTGATATTTGTTAGAAGTTTGTTTATAGTTTATTTTAATTTACTAGAATGACTTCTGAAAGATCTAAACGTAGAAAAATAGCTGAAGTGGTATCAAAACTTTTTCAAGAATCTTCAACTTTAAATATACAGAATCAGGATGTTTATCCATATAGTAGCAATATGTTTTTTGATTCTTCATATTTACATGGAATAAGAGAACAAGTTGACAGTAATTTGGAACCTAACGAATTTTTAACTAATTCTAATTATTCTGATAATAGTTTAGCTGTTATGGAGACTGAAATTAGCGAAATAGAAAATAACAAAAACACTATTGAATTACTTACAGATGATAGTAATGAATGGTCTCCTGAGTCATTTATTTCTGATGATTATAAGAGTGATGAAAGTAATGACAGCGAAAAATTGCCTCATAAACTTGCTAATTGGGCATTAAGCTTCAATATAACACATGCTGCTTTGAACAGTTTGTTACCTTTATTAAGAGAATATGGGTTAAGTTTGCCTAAAGATTCAAGAACACTTCTTCACACCCCCCAAAATATAGATACAAAAATTGGCGCGGGCGGAGAGTATTACTATTTCAGCATGCAGTATTGGCTTTTAATAATGTTTAAAAACAATTCAATAGAATCAAACAACAACCAACTTACCATTCACATTAACATTGATGGTATACCTATATTCACCAGTTCCAGTACTTCTCTTTGGCCAATTTTAGGTACTCTTATTGAAGCTGGAGCAATAGTATTTCCAATAGCAATTTATTGTGGTGACAAAAAACCAAATTCTATTCATGAATATCTAGAAGATTTTTTGATTGAGATTAAAGCTCTTACTGAAAATGGTTTTACCCATGAAAATGTAAAGTATGATGTAAAGCTTGCTGCAATTATATGTGATGCACCAGCAAGAGCATTTGTGAAATGTATAAAGGGTCACAATGGTTATAATTGTTGTGAGCGTTGTGTTCAAAAAGGAGAGTGGTGTGGCAAAATAATCCTTCCGCATACATCAGCAACTTTAAGGACTGATTCAGATTTTCGTTATCAAAATAGTTTGGAACATCATATTGGTGTGTCTCCTTTAATTGAGTTGGGTTTTGACATGGTATCAAAATTTCCTTTAGATTACATGCACCTAGTATGTCTAGGGGTTGTGCGAAGAATCATCAACTTATGGTTAAATGGTCCCAGATCATGTAAGTTGTCGCAAAATACTGTAAATATTTTATCTGATAGATTTTTCCAGATACGTTGTTATATTCCAAAGGAATTTTCTAGGAAACCAAGGTCTTTATCAGATTTTCGGCATTGGAAAGCCACTGAACTTAGACTTTTTCTAATATATACTGGACCAGTTGTTTTAAAGGGATTACTTGAGCCAAAATTTTATTCAAACTTTTTAGATCTTTCAGTTGCAATTCGTATTTTATTATGTCCTATTTTGTTGAAAAACTATATTGGTTTAGCTCGTCAGTTACTTACTTATTTTGTGCAGTCGTTTGGTAAACTTTATGGTAAAGATCAGTTAGTTTATAATGTCCATTCTTTGATACATCTAGCAGATGATGCAGTTAACTTTGGAGTTTTGGATAAGTGCTCTTCATTCAAATATGAAAATTATCTGGGTCAATTAAAAAAGCTTGTTCATAGGCCACAACAACCATGTTCACAAATTGTTAGGAGAATTTTCGAGGGCTGTTTGAAGGAAGATAGACATCATATTCATCAGCTAAAATTTAGCATCCAGCATGTTGATGGACCAATAACCATTGCATTGAGACATTGTTTGCAGTTTAAAAATTACCAAGGTTTTAAGTGTTTTGTTTCTGCTACTGATGGAAATAACTGCTTTGAAGTTGCAAAAAAAATTGGTTTAGTTAGAAATATTATACAAATAAAAACAGGCGAATCTTGTGATGGATTGGTTATGTTTGAAGAATTTGCAGCTCTTGAATCATTTTTCACAGATCCATTTTCTTCCAATAATTTGTCGATATTTTATGCAAGCAAAATGACTGGTATTAATAAAATTTACCCACTATCAGACATCAATATTAAGTATTTACAAATACCATACAAAAGTGGCTTTATTGTTATGCGTCAACTACATTTGTGAATTATAAATACTTTTTATTTTCTAAAACTTATAACCTCTTTATATTATATTATGCATTTATATTATAATAAAATTTTCTAGAAAGTCAAGTGATTATTTTTTAATCTTTTTTTTAACATATGTTGTATATCTAATTATATATGTAAACAAATAAATTTAAATATATATATATATATATATACGCTATGCTAATTTATTTATAAGTAACTAAAGAAAAAGTCTAAGAAATCTCAATTTATTACATATCTGCGCTTTTTATTTATTTACATTAGTTATTATATTTATATTATTTATTTATCTTAGTTATACATCCTAATTTATCCTAATTTATTTTAATTAAGTTATAATAATTAGTATAACAAGTTTAACTCCATTTTTATTTTGTGTCATTTTTTTAATTTTCTTTAGAAAATGTCAGTTATCATTTTCTTATGTTATTAAGGTATTTTGCATTTTTTATTTAAGAATATTTCTGATTATTTGCAATAGGTTCACATTGGCTGTTGGCAATATGTGTGAGTTGACTACAGAACGTCTCCAATTTTAGTTAATGACTCCAATTAAATAAACTCCTTTAATGGCAGGTTAGTAAATATAATAGTAATAATAATGATAAGTAGTCTTGTTTATTAGAATTAATGAATGACTCTTGTATAGAATTTTTTGACTTTATGGTTAGTGAGTATACTCCCTTTAATTATTAAACACAATTTTAATATTGTGAGAAAATACTTTTTTTTTTAAATCTGAAAAAAATTTTAAAATATGCAATTTAAAAGAAGATGTTGATTTAAAATATAAACGATGGGTTGCTTGTAAAATTCAACTCAAAGCAGTTTAATTTTTATTTTTTCACAGGTCTTATTGAAAAAGATATTGTATGAAGAAAAAAGTGCTTAAAGAAGTGGTTTTCACAAAGATTTTAATTCATGATTACGATACGATTCACGATTAAAGAATAAAAATGTAATTTTAATGTGCTTTTTGTTTGAAATAAATAAGCATATAATATGAATTCTCTTATATTTATTAAACCCATATGGGCCCCGTATAGAAACCGCGGCCAAAATCCGGCGAGATCTCGGAGGGCTTTCCCATATGGGTCCCAGTTGTAAATCTATACGGGACCCTTATGGTTTAAAAATGCGGGATCTTAATGGGACCCACACGGGTTTCCCGGCGGGCAAACCAATATGGGCCCCGGATGGAAACCGCGTCCAAAAACCAGCGGGACCCCGGAGGGCTACCCATATGGGGCCCAGTTGATGACCCATACGGGTCCCGCATGGTACCCGTACCACAATGCTGGCTGGGTTAGCATCATTTTTGCGAATAATAGTAAAAACGTCAATGATTTGACCTTAAAGCAATATTCAAGTGTGAAAATTAAAAAAAATAATTTGGAGGATAGGTTTATTATTTAATTTCAAAAAAAATAAAAGTTAATAATAATACAAATATAAACCTATACTTTTAACTATAAAATATTACTCAACTAAATAATAGTATTAAGATCTTTCTTTGTAGTCTTTTTTGATATCTGCTGCCGGTTTCTCTGGACAACCTAAAAATATAAATATATTAAGTAAATATTATATACTAACTATTTATATCATACTTGCTAACAAGTGCCTATTATATTGCGTGTATATAATAAAATACCTGGAGAGTATCCTGAAGCCTATCTTTATTGTGTGCTCTCTCAACAAAATCTTGAATCAACTTGATGTGAAGTTCTGCACGGTAATTTACAGCTGCAAGTGTTCTTACGCACTTTAAGAAGTATGTAAAAAACTGAGAGATTATCTCACTTTCACATGCTTCGATGTCTTTTTCTTTCCAGAGGTGAAGTTCTTTTTTGGAAATACCCAACAGCAAAAACAAAAGATAGGACTTTTCATTAATAAAATCATCTAGTTTAGACGTAGGAATAATTTCAATAATAGATTCAGGTTTCTTTTTAATCAGATCTTGCAACGCCGGGATACCATAGGAAAGCAGCTTATTTAACATATTGTTCTAAACTTCAACTTTCAGTTCCTTATCAGCGCGAGCAAAAACTACTTGTTGGAGGGACAGGTACTAAGTGTGACGGCTAAGGCTTTAGTAAAGAAACTTTCCCACAACTGCAAATTCTTTAAACTTATCCATTGATTGCAGCTGAAAAGAAATATTTTATGCCATCAAATCATTTAATGGTGCTTGAGAAGCCATTGTGCATTTCAAAAAAATGAAGCCGTAAAAAAATACAATGTAGTTTGTTGCAGCCTTCAGATTACTTAACGTACTTATATTACCAGATTCAGAATCAACTGGGTAGCACATTTGAGTCATTTGAATCACCAGCAAGTAGTTACAGGCTGCCATAAATCTTGCTTCATGATGAGCTCCCGGTTGTTTAAATGAGAAGTTTGGTAACTCAGATCCTAGAAAAAAATGCCAGAAGCTTACAAAGATACCTGTAATCTCCTCTCTAGAAAGTACTCTCACGAAGAGCTGTGATACAGAATTCATTTGTATCCGAACCAAGTTTGTACAACAAAGAGTTAGGTCTAAAGGCATTTTGAATCCAGTCAAATTTCACAATTCTCTCTAACTTATTTACAATTACAAAGAACCGGTCTACCTAGGGCGTATGAAACAATAATGCTTACAGCACCTTTTTTTCTCCCAGTGTTACTGAATGTTGTTTCCAAACACAATCCAATAATCTGATCAGACATCTCATAACATTCAAGTATAGCTTGAATGGCAGTAGCTTGATCACTTCCCTTAGAACTTTCGATTTTTAAGATGCCCAGAAGGAAGTCTAGCGGACCAGACTCGGGTGAAGATGCGCTTATGGCGACTCTATCCTCGCTTTTACATACTCTTTTTTCGTTGTATATTTTCATCTGTGCCTCAGACTCCACAATAGTGTGGGTCTTCCTGTTTAGAGTTGATCTTGATATAGGGATATTATCAATATCAACATTACCAGCTTTGTAAAGAGAATTCAAAAGACACACACCTGGTCTGACTCCAATTCTAAATCTGGTCATAATTGAAATCCAGTTGTGAAGAATGTCTCCCAGACATAATTGAAGGCAAACTTTCAAATCATTCTGAAATCTTTTTTGTTTTTTCTAGACTTTAGCAGGAGGTAAATAAATTTTATCGTATTCACTTTGATTCTACTTCCAAATGGTTACTTTCTTTTTTTCATTTTTTTTCGCATGCCTTTCTATTTTTTCTGATTTTTAGAAGTTTTTCCTGTGCTCTGTGAACATTTTCACTAAATATTTTATCAACGTTGCCAAATTTAACCATATCCCCTCTCAGACAATGCCTTAAAAATTTTATGTCTTCACTCTTACCCTCGTCATCCCTATTTTTATCAACTTTAATTAAATTATATATGTTTAATTTTTGAATAGAAAAAAAAACACTACTCTCTTTCAAAAGTTTGTCAACCTTCTTATTAAAGCTGCCCTCGGGCAAATCTAGTGTTTTAAGCATTTTTAAAGTGTGATACCCTTGGTAATTCTGGTCTTTATAGTTTGCTTGGTCACAGTGAAAGTATCGCTAAACCCAGCTTGTTCCCACAAAGTGACAAGCTCCCTCAGAAAACAGACGTTTGTATTTAACTGCATGGTTTTCTTTCCGCACCCTCCGTCAGCAAACCTGGATCATCTCAAATAAGTCTTACCAGAAGCAACTGGGCAGCCAATTTTGACGCTGATCTTTGTGGTACTAAAACATTTCAAAAATTAGTTAGTTAGTTATTCATACTAATTACGTTGGTTATGTACTAATTTACCTTGTGTTTTTGTCGATATTAGGCCAGTAGTACCTTCTGAGCATTTCTCCATTTGTGGGAAGTCTATAGGGGGCAAAACTCTGCAAAGGAAAACCAAGATAATAAAATTGTCTTCGCTTCCTTGTAATCTTCGACGTGTTAAGATTATCTGCTTTAAGTGAATAAATTATCTGATTGTCGCGCTCTTGGTGTAGAGGCATTTTCTAAAATCAACTATTTTTAATTTAAAATAAAATCAGAATAGTTGCATGCACAATGCATTGCACATTATATTGGACGAGTTTTTTATTATTATTGTTTTATTGCCATCGTTTAATTAGAAAACTTTGATAACATAATATTGAACTTATTTAAATATAATATTAAATGATCCCACATTTTTATCTAATAATGATTATTATTAATGAAAAAAAGAAGACTAAATTTTAAAATCAAGTTAATACCTGAGTTTTGGTAAGTAAAGAGTTTTAAGTAAGTAAAGAGTTTTTTTTTTGTTGAAAACAACTTTTAAAAGTGATTTAATTATAATTCTCAATTATTAGATACGCATAAATAAATCTCAATTATTAGATACTCAATCATTAATTTTTATTGTTCGCCATTCTTTTGTCGAAACATGTGTTTATTTGAAGAAGAATAAAATTAATTTTATCTCCAAATTTATATAAATTAAAAAAAAAATTGACCTAACTAACCTTCCGCTAGAACTAGAGACTTAATTTTTTTTTTGTTCGTCTTCATTTTCCAAATGAAGCAGAATGCAGTATTCCGCACATCAAAATTCAATACGCGATATTTTTTTGAGACACCCGAATATATATATATATATATATATATATATATATATATATATATATATATATATATATATATATATATATATATATATATATATATATATATATATATATATATATATATATATATATATATATATATATATATATATATATTAGGGTGTTTCATATTTTATCAATTTGTGAATTTAAAATCGCAAATCAATTTATAAATTGACCATTTATATGAAAATAAGTTTGCGCAAAAAATAAATATATATATATAATTTTTAGGGTCCCCGCCAGTTTGATTTTGGGCAAATATGTTGGATGTTTTAAACGTCTAGCGGGAACCTTAAAATTTATCCTGTCAAGTTTTTTATTCCTTTAAATAATATATGTTGAATTGAATATTAATCACATAAAAGGAGCATGTTGAAAAAATAAGGAAATTAGCCTACAGAACTTTCTGAAATTTTTCTTTACAAAAATTTTTTTTTCACAAAAACCTATTTTATAACTTGGTGGCGTATTTTATAACTCGGAGGCGTATCTTAATTTTTTCAACATGCTCCTTTTATGTAATTAATATTCAATCAAACATATACTATATAAAGAAATAAAAAATTTTATAGGATAAATTTTAAGGTCCCCGCCAGGCGTTTAAAACACTCAACATATTTGCCCAAAATCGAACTGGCGGGGACCCTAAAAATTATATATATACATTTTTTTTGCTCAAACTTGTTTTCATATAAATGTTTAATTTATAAATCGATTCGCGAGTTTAATTTCAAAAAATGATAAATTATGAAACACCCTAATATATATATATATATATATATATATATATATATATATATATATATATATATATATATATATATATATATATATATATATATATATATATATTTTTTTTTTTTTTTTTTTTTTTTTTTTTTTTTTAACATCTTCACTTCTAACAAGGCTGCAAGCAACCACTATAAGAGTTGGAAGTTACTGGAAGAGAAAAGACTAAATCTGTAGAGCAAGATAACGATTGACTGATGACTTAAAATATGACTATAATATATATATATATATATATATATATATATATATATATATATATATATATATATATATATATATATATATATATATATATATATATATATACTATATATATATATATATATATATATATTTATATATATAAATATATATATATAAATATATATATATATAAATATATATATATATATATATATATATTTATATATATATATATATATATATATAAATATATATATATATTTGTTTATGTATATATATATATATATATATATATATATATATATATATACATATATATATATATATATATATATATATATATATATATATATATATATATATATATATATATATATATATATATATATATATATATGATAT